GGGGGGGGAGAGGGTGGCTGGATGTCTTTAAGGCTTCTATAACCACAAGAAATTAAGCTGTAACTACTAGATGAAATATTTATATATTTATTATGATTAGCTGACATTTGGAATTATTTGCATTTAATGACTGATTAATATAAGTTGCAAGATACTACTTCTAGATGACTTGCTTGTTCTTGTAGACAATCACTTTAAAGAGAGTCCTGCTAATTGCTTTTGCTTTAGAGCAGAAAGGGCCTGATGTGCATGCCTTACTGCAACTCGGATAGCCAGTTCACATGCTCTATAACAACTCTAACCCTATAAGAATGGCCAAAGACTTGACACTGTGGATACTTATTATTTGCTGTCTTTCCAGAGTTCATTGAGCGCCTTAGAGGAAAAGAACTCAGCATTGGAGCATGAGCTACTAAAGGCTAAAGAAGAGTCTACTAACACAATTTCCAAGTTGACAGCAGTTGAAGAAACATGTTCACAACTCCAACAAAACTTAAAAAGGTAATTTTAATAAACCAATGAGAAGTTGTTTGGGGCAATCTCATCGCATAGTTAGTCTTCTGCTTCTTGTTAATGGTAAAACGTATACATATATAAGGAAATGGAATGATATCTGTTTTAGTTTGTTAAAAATGTTGAATTTGTCTCTATCTACACTCATTTTTGGTGCTGCAACCATATAGTTTTTCATAACTGGTTGATTTCCAGATGTTTTAAAACTTATGCTTCTTTTCTATATCAGTATGCAAGAGAAGCTCTCAAATTTAGAGGATGAAAATCATATCCTCCGACAGAAAGCACTGGGTGTAACTCCGAGGAGCAATCGTGCTGGTTTTGCCAAGCCTTTTATCGATGTAAGCTGTTATATGTTAACTTATAATGTATAAACCATGACGGAGAATTCTTCCTTGCATGCTATAGCTCTAGATCCAATAAACTTTTGTCCCCTTTGTGCAGAAATTTTCTGGTGCACTCGCTCTGCCCTCTGCCGATCGTAAATCTTCATTTGTAAGTATCCTTTTTTGCAGTCTCAGTTTAAGTATGTAGTTCCATTTCTCTATTTCTTGATCACTAACGGTTGTGTTATGTTCGTTAGGAATCTCCCACTCCAACAAAAATCATACCTCCTCTTGCTCAAGGATTTTCTGATTCGCGTAGAGCTAAGTTGACCAGTGAAAAGCAGCAGGTTTCTTTCTGTTTCAAAACTTGTGATGATTTATGTTTTTCTTTGCCATGATGGCCTGGTTATCACTGTTGGGGAGGGTGGATGCGAAGTTTAAGAAAACTAATGGACAGGAGTGATGAAGGGTACTGGCATTCAGGTAGTAGAAGAGGATTATAGAGGATTGAATCTCATTTACTTCCCTTCTAGTTGTAAAACAACGCGTGAAAGAACTAATTTCCCTTGTGAGAGAAAAGTGATGAGTTCCCCCTACTCTAGTTACCCTCTGTCCCAACTGTAAGTTTAGTAGGTAACTAGTGTAAAAGGTCTAAGTAAAGGTGGCTTTGATGTACGCTTCTTTAAAGTGAAGTCTCTGTTGCAGGAGAACTCTGAAATTCTTTCACGGTGTATCAAAGAGAATTTGGGATTTAAAGATGGAAAGCCAGTTGCTGCTTGTGTCATCTACAGGTGCCTCCTTCACTGGCATGCCTTTGAGTCAGAGAGGACTGCTATTTTTGACTTTATCATTGCGGGTATCAATGAAGTTTTGAAGGTAATCTCTTTGATGTCCTTGGGGGTAAAGGATTTCTTAATTTTTAAATTCTGTTTGGCTTTGTCAAACTACTTGATGCTTCATTATGTAGTTCATAACCAGGTTTTGCGTAAGTGTATCTTTTCAGATTGTAGCCGATTCAAGGTTACATTTATATTAATTGTTTGTTTTTGTGCTTTTGGTTACCATGTTATGAGTAAATCCCTCGACCAACTTTTCTATTTCTGTGGATATTATCTTTGATTTTCTCCAAATTAACACGCTGTGGTGCAATCTTGAGCAAGTCAAAATGCTAATGGCTGCTTTGGATTGATGTGTTTGTCAGATGTGACTACTGTGAGATTAAGCAACATATATGGAACTTTTTGAAGGGACTACCAAGAAGTTGGAGTTGTGGTCCTAGTCCTAAATCCATTGAGTTGCAGATCTAAAAACAATAGAAGTGTTCCTTAACAAAATAAGCTTTTAGATGAGGTGGTTCATACACTTTAAAGGTCCTGGATTCGGTTCATACTTCTTTAAAAGATCCTGGATTCAACTCTCTCGGCTGCTTATCAACAAATATTTCATATGCTTGACCTGTGAAAAAGAATTGGCCTGCAAATAAATGTGCTTCATCTTAAATATTTGGATGAAGTGGTCTATGCAATTTTTTTTTTTTGATGTGATAAACCCACCCATCTTTACCCCACCCAAGAGCCCAACAATGGCTCTTTTCCTAATCCCTGCTTCATTACCTGTGTGACCCCGGACCTTAACCTTATGTTTGGAGGTGGCAGGTCCTTACCGCTAGGCTATACCTTCCTTGTCAGAGGCGGCTATACAGTTCAATACAAAGTTTCAAATCTTTTTGCAGACAAGCCTATAATTACTTGCTTACCATGATATGCAGCTGCATATCTGGGTTGGCTTGCTAACCTAGTTGTGAACCACCTTGCTAAGTATTGAACCGAACTCATTGTATAGACAGTGCCTCTAATAACTTGCTTACCATGATATGTAGCTGTACATCCAGGTGGCTTCCTAACCTAGTGTGTGATCACCTTGCTATCTATTGTACCAACTGTGATCGTTGAACAAATGACAGTTTTATTCTAAATGAAAGGCTACCTTTTCCTTTTTGAATAAATGCAGTTTTCAAAAAGATGCAGCTATCTGGTAGTTTTAGACGAGCTAGTGTCTTTAGTTTCATTCATCTTTAACCAGGTTTTCTTCTTTCTTCTATTTTCTTGGGGTGTCAGGTCGGAGATGAGGATGTCACATTGCCTTATTGGTTATCGAATGCATCTGCACTTCTCTGTCTTTTGCAAAGAAATTTGAGGGCGAATGGATTCTTTAGTACTTCTCAGCGTTCTGGAGGCGGTTCTGCACTAAATGGGAGGGTCGCACAAGTAAGTTGTGTATAGAGATGATAAGGAAAAATCTGGTGTTTGTAATAGTGTAATCATGTTCCGTTGTTACTAATATCCAATAGTATTTGATCATGATTGTAATTGGAAAGTTTTTGATAAAGTAGAAAGTGAAAAATTAACATAAACCCCTCTATTTTTAGCTGCAAAATATTATTTGTATTTCTATGTAGTTAAGAAAATTACAAAATTGTGTCTGCATACTCATAAATTGGATGAGTTGACTGTATCGCGAACCTTGCCATTCTTTTTGGGTGGTTAAAATTTCTTTTATGCATGACCGAAAATCCTCGAGGGTCATTGATTCATGATTCAAAATTCGGTGAATATGAGCTCGCCATCTACCCTTCTCCACTTAAATACCAAGTTGTTTGTCTTTGATAGGGTTTAAACCCATGAGTCATGACGGCTAGCTCACACATCACGCACTGCGCTCTAACCACCGAGCAAATCACTGGGACGCGGTATCAGCCTAGTGTTATCCTATCCTGTATAGATCTCATCGCCTTCACGTATTCTTTCCCACAACTTTATGCTAGAAATCCTTTGATGCCTTTTTCTTCTTCTCTTGTTGGGAAAGCTATATCTATGTGGCCAACGAGGTAGGTTGCTCGGACTCTTTTCTTTTGGTTTCGCATCCGTGTTGACACGACGTGGGTGTTGGTGTGGGATATGGTCAACCGATTTTGGGTACTTTGACTAAAATCGAGAGAATTTAGGGAGAGATACAATAATTTCTGAAATTAAACAAAAGGTAAGGTGAAATTGAAGAAAATGGAATACCTTGTATGTAGAAATTTCTATGTCAGTCCTTTTCCTTTTATCTCCTTCTCGGATTCTCCTCTTGATCAATATTTTCTCCTCCTCGGAATACCTTGTAAGTTTTCCACATAATGTCTCATAATTTATGCATATTTTTATGACTCTATTTTAGATATTTGAATTATTTTTAGCCTGTCCCGGCGCATTTACAATACCTGGATCCGTACCCCGAATCTTAAGATTTAGATCATGAAGGATCCGACATCTAGATCGGCAACTGTATCGGATATCTGTACCCGAGTCCAAGCAACTTAGCCAACGAGTCATGTTGCTGTCGTCTATGGCTTCAGTGCTTGATTTGTGTGTCCTCTTCGATAAGTCTTCTTTAAATCCTCCGGGCTCTATCTCTTTCATTTCCCCTTCACCCTTGGGTCCCCGAGGAAGGTGAAAGGCTATCTATGTGTGTGTTGGAAATATCTATGTGTGTGTGTACATATTTAGTGTGTTTGTGTATGTGTATTTATTGTTCAATGCGTTGTGCTTTATCCTTATCAAATCTGCTATGATTGTCGTTAACCTTTTTGGTTTTATCATCATTCAAATTGCTGGATTACGTCAAGAGACCTAACAGGTTTTTGTGTTTTCACCTTCTTCAGAGTTTAAAGTCGCCCTTGAAATTTATTGGATCGGAGGATGGAATGTCACATATGGAAGCAAGATATCCAGCTTTACTGTTTAAACAACAATTAACCGCATGTGTAGAGAAGATATTTGGTCTGATTCGTGACAATTTGAAGAAGGAAATATCCCCATTGCTGGGTCTGTGCATTCAGGTGCGCTATTCCTGCCTCCCAAATAATTTTCCTGTGCATGAGCATGTCATTAGATTCAGCTGTTGAACACTGTCTTTCAGTACTTAATGCCTTTTATAGAACTGATTTCCAAGTCAGCATTATTTTCTTGTCGAATCTACTGATTCTGCAACCACTAGTTAGGCATGACAAGCCCTACCTACTGCTTTACGTCCTTTCCCTTTTTTTTTTTCTTTTGGGGGGAGGGGGTATGAAGAACTGTGTAATGATAATTGAGTGAGAGGTTGGAAGAAGAATCCATGATGCTTTTGTCTTTTGGCCTCATATGCTCCTGGGACCTGTTTTTCCTGTTTCAGACACTTTTATTGTAACTCGGGGCTGAACTTACTCAAAAGCAGTATTTCAAAATAAGGAAAACTTATGATGTAGTTCAAGGGGAGGTGCGATGTGTATGTTATTTTGGACGCATTGACGCGACACATTCAAGGGGAGGTGCGATGGTGTATGTTATTTGCAGATGATGTAGTTCTTATTGATGAGACGCGAGGTGGTGTTAACGAGAGACTGGAAGTTTGGAGATAGACTTTTGAGTCTAATGGTTTCAAGCTAAGCAGGACCAAGACAGAGGACTTGGAGTGCAAGTTCAGCGACGTTATCCAGGAAGCAGACATAGATGTGAGGCTTGATACACAAGTCATCCTCAGGAAAGGAAGTTTCAAGTACCTTGGTCAATAATACAAGGTGATGGAGAGATTGATGAGGATGTCACGCATCGTATTGGAGCAGGGTGGATGAAGTGGAAGCTCGCTTCCAGTGGTTTGTGTGATAAGAATGTGCCGCTGAAACTTAAAGGTAAGTTCTACGTAGCAGTGGTTAGACCGACTATGTTGTATGGGGCAGAGTGTTGGCCGTCGATAACTCTCGTGTCTAGAAGATGAAAGTAGCTGAGATGGATGTATGGACATACTAGGTTAGATAAGATTAGGAATGAAGTTATTCGGGATAAGGTGGGTGTGTCCCCTGTGGAGGATAAGATGCGGGAGGCGAGATTGAGATGGTTCGGGCATGTTAAGAGGAGAAGCACAGAGGCCCCAATTAGGAGGTGTGAGAGGTTAACTTTGGTGGGTACGAGCAGGATAGAGGTAGGCCAAAGAAGTTTTGGTGAGAGGTGATTAGGCGGGGCATGTCGTAGCTGGAGCTTACTGAGGACATGACCCTTGATAGGAGGGTATGAAGGTTGAGGATTAGGGTAGAAGGTTAGTAGGTAGTCGAGCGTTTTTCCTTTGTCTTCCTTAGTTTGATAGCATTAGGTTAGCATGTATATTTTTATTCTTAGATTGCTATTACTATCTAGCGTATAATTGCTATCTTGGCTTCGGTTTTCTCTTTTTATCTTGTTGTTATTAATTATTGTCATTACTTCATTTCATCCTTTCTTTGGCCGAGGGTCTATCGGAAACGATCGCTCTGCTCTTCCAAGGTAGGGGTAAGACTGCGTACATCTTACACTTCCAGGATCCCACTTGTGGGAATTCATCTAGTTTGTTGTTGTTGTTTGTTGTTGTGTATATATTACCATTAAGCAAATAATAAATTAAAAAGAAATTAATTGGAAATTGAAAATGGAAGTAGCTGAACTGAAAGGTTAGACATAAAAGTTGGTATTCCCTTTGTTACATTTGGTATATCACTCTTTCCCTTTTTGTCTATTCCAAAAAGAATAACACTTGTCTACATTTGAGAACTCTTAACTTTAAACTTCTCGTTTTACCTGTAGTGACATGCTGTTATAGTCATAGAAATGTCGTGGTGTGTTTAAGACCATAAGTTCTAAGGGTACTTATAATATGTGCCAACAGTCTTCCTTCTTTCTTTATTAAACATTGTGTCCAGTCAAATATCGCCATATAAAATGGAAATAAAGGAGTAAAAAGGGCTTCTCCTAGGATGAGCATTTGGGTTGCTTGGTGTTATTATAAGGTAAACTAGGGGTGGACATTCGGTATTTCGGTTCGGTATTTAAGAATTTCGGTTCGGTATTTTGGTATTCGGTTTATCAATTGTGTATACCAAATACCATACCAAAATATTTCGGTACGGTTCGGTATTTCTTAATTTGGTTCGGTACGGTTTCGGTACGGTTTCAGTTTAATAATCGCTGAATAATCAATGCTAACAGTGCACATGCACAACTGAAACTTTCACTGTGAATTGTGAAAGAATCTGTTCCGAACTATAAAGAATAGAGAATTTGAGACAATCAACTGATAATCAAGCCATGGAATCTTTTCTAGAGTTCAAATTCGGAAGAATTGAGTTATTAGTCAAAGTATAGGCTAAAACACCAAATAATTAAAAGGATTAAAAAATTGCCAAGACATCACTAGCTAAAGAATGATTGAACCAACAATGCAAATACAAGTTGACGCCACTCCAGTGCACTGCAAAATGAAAATTTTGCCTAACTCCAAAGCTGAAAGTTGGCCTAAAAGGGACGACCAACTACACATTACACAACTATACAACAGAATTAACAGAAGTAAGTAATTAACAGTGCAACAGCCAACAGATGCAGCAGAATGCAGCAAAAATACAGAATTAACTTAACAGTGCAACAGTCTTAACACTTAACACTTAAACACAGTGCAACAAAAACAGTTTTAACACTTAAACACAATGCAATTGGCCAACTGCAACAGTCTTAACACTTAAACATAGTGCAACAAAAACAGAGAGGGCACAAAAACAGTCTTAATTCTTAAATACGGATTCCAGGAAGACACGCAAGACAACGCTTAATATGCTTCCTTAAACCAATTGTTCCATTCCTCTTTGGATTAATATTATAGACTTGACCACAATGCTTGCACTCTACTTTGCGAACTTCTCCGTTATCTTCTTTCACCTCAAAGTGTTCCCAAATATCGGAGCATACTTTAGGAGCACGGGGCATGATTGCACTTGAACCTAACAAAAATATAAATCATAAGTTAGAATATTATATTTTGATGATAATAAAACAAAACTACAAAAGTATTAAGTATATCACCAAACAAATAGAGTATTAAACTTACCACTCAAAATGCAAGTTGCAACTATACATCAAACAATGATAGTAGTGCTTCCATTATTTTCCATATCTAAAGATAATTCGACCAAATATGTCATACAAATGAAAAAGCATGATATATTATTTTGAACTAAAATACACACAAAATATTAAAGCTTACCAAGCTCGAGTTCCTCAAGATACTTCAAGTCTTCTTCAACACTAATAGGATTCTTCTCTTCTCTAAGCCAATCTTGAACACAAATAAGAGCTTGCGCACCTTTAGGAGTCAATGAACTCCTAAATGAATCAAGAATACGACCACCAGTACTAAATGCGCATTCCGACGCCACACTAGAAATTGGAATGGCCAACACATCACGAGCCAACTCCGAAAGAATAGGAAATCTAGGAGCATGTGTTTTCCACCAACTCAAGATATCAAATTCTTCACTAAAAGGCTCTTGTTCTTCACTAATGTATTTATCCAACTCCGATTTAGCACTCCCACTTCCATTGTCTTCCTTTTGTTTCTTCAAGCTAAGCTTAGTCCTTATTTTTGATGCACTATGTATTAGATGTGTTGTGAGATGAAGTAGAACTAGATGGAGATTGAGGACAAGATCCAGTTGAATACTTTTTAAGATACTCTCCAAACAAAGAATTCATATAAGCATACACCTCGACATTTATTTTCTTCCCTTTTTCCTCACCAAAAAGTTCTTCAAGTGCTCCCTCAACATATTCAAGTTTGTTACGTGGATCCAAGACGGAAGCAATAAAAATCATTGTATTCATCTTTTCAGGCTCACCCCAATACTTCTTGAACTTTTCTTGCATTCGCTCAACCATTTTNTGGTTGTGCTTTTCTAAAAGAACTTCTTAGATTTTGCTTCAATTCACCGTAAACTTCATAACAATCAATTGTTATTGTTCTACGAGAAAGAAGACGAAATAGTGGTTGAGTGTTTCTCATAAACTTCATAAAGTCTTCATTTTCTACAAAGCTAAATGGTAGTTCATCAATAACTATCATCTCAATTAAGGCCCTCCTAACCACTTTTTGATCAAATTTCCAAATTGATCCTTCATCATTTTGGCAAGATTGAAAATTTATCTTTGTTTGACTATTATCTTTAGCAATGTTAAGTGGGTATTCTTTGCATCTAAGCAAATGATTCTTCAATCCTGTTGTTCCATTCTTAGATGAATTAGCAGCATAAGCTTGTTTACAATATCGACACCGTGCTTTCCCAACCCCATTAACCTCAAATTTATCAAAATGGTTCCAAATGTCAGACCTAGGTTGCATTGCTTTCCTTTTCTTGGAATCTTGAGTATCAATGGTGTTGGTGTTACTATCTACCGTAATAGGTAAACTTTCACTAGAACCAACATCACTTACTTTACTTGTATCTTCCATCTATACAAAATTAAACAAATATAAACATAAACTAACAATTAGCTAAAAGATGCTAACAGTAACACTAGCAGTTCTTTATGATAACAATCAACATTCAACATATGCTAAAAGGTTCTTTACTTTGTAGCAAAATTGTTAATCCATTTGTCTTTCTGATCCAATTTTCTTTCTGGTTCCCCTCACTCACCAATATCTTATACATGTTTGGATTATTTTAAGGAAGAGTTTGGGAACTTAATAAATCATAATGTGTTTGCTTACCCTCAAATATCAATCATACAATTTAGATTCTTCTGTGTTTTTTTCCATATCAGCATGTGATGTGCTATTAGTATTGTCATCATATTTAAAGGAAGTATACTTAGTACTTGACAACTAATGTCTTCTCTTTATTTTCTATGAGAATAAAGTCAATCATAGCTCCTTTCCAGTTTCCATGAATTGAAAATGAAACGGAAAATTACTTCTAGTTGAACACAGCCTACACGAAAAAAATTACGTGATAAAAGCTTTAAAATTCACAATTAGTTACAAGAACCAAATATGTAA